AGAGAGAGAGAGAGAGAGAGAGAGGAGGAGGAGAGGGGGGGGGGGAGGAGATGAGAAACTGGATCGAAACTCGGTGGAAGATGCCGTCAAAAAAAGCAAATGTTCTAATTTATCGCGCTATATGGGATGATAACTATGATAAGCGGAAGAAGGCGTGTCGAGAATTGCTATTATTAAATATTCCGTAAACGAAAGATCTCTTTTATAGAGATTTTTTTTTTTTTCAACAATTCAAGCGTTCGAAAAAGTTATTAAAAAGTATCAGAGATAATAATTTTTCTTCGGGGATATCGAATTTTCCATCGATCGATTGCCGCAAATTTTATCTCAATCCGGCGCATTGTCTGCTGGCCGATGCATTTATCGATCCAGGACAGGTGGAAATTTATCACGGATAGCGGGATCGTGTACACGTGATGGGAGAGCAGAGGTCGTATTTTGGCAAATATCATTGCGGACGTAGTCGATAACTCAGTGATTCGTCATCGAGTGCCGGCCGATAGTCAAATGAACGGTCTGTCGTAAATCGTGGGACCGGTGTGTGCACCAACGCATAAATCAAAACGAGACACACGGCTGTCAGGTGGTTCGGGCAGGCTCGTTATCGTTGCGTGCGATATCTGGACGCGAAAATATTCGAAAACGTAGAACAACCGCGGCGGCCATGGACCAACCACGGCTTCTCTCCTCTTCTTCCGTTACGTCCCTCGCTATTAATCCTGGCCAATTGTACCGGCTTTAATTCAATCCTCTCCACACACCGCGCTCCTTCCCTCTCTCCTTCGTCTACAATTTTTGCATAGCGAGCGGAGTAATAATAATCGCCAACCCGACGTGCCTGCGAATATTAAACAAACGTTCCAACGCCACTAGGACGCCGGTGAAAGTATAATAACGCGGATGTTAATGAGCGGAGACTCCACCTTCGTGGCCGCGGCAACGCATGATTTTTATTACATCGTCCGCGTGACTTATATTTAAGCGGCGATATTACACTCGCTTCTCGCTCCTCTGACGTAGTGTCGCAAACACGAGGACGAATCGTTATTAACTCAAGAGCAAGTAGTACCGTGACTGACACTTAAAATCAATTAGCGGTACACGTCAATTAGAAAGTCGAGTTGGCCTAGTCGATGTCAATCTCTTGCCGAGCCAAGCTGGTAATATGTGGAACGATCGTTATTCTTCTTTTTTTCTTTTTCCATTTATCCATCTACGAATTTTCAAACAAAATCCAGAGAAACGGATTAGATTTTTTTTATCTGAAACTGTAACGATTTGTAGCTTTGTGGACGAAATGAAAGCATCGTGGTAGATATAGTTCTGTACAATCCGTTCGATTTATATCTCGAAGGAAAAAAATTCTGTCCAACCTATAATTCTTTGGATATCTACACGTATCTAGTTTTCCCATAAATTTCTTCTTTCGCTTCTGTCGCGGATGAAATTAAAATACCACGGTGATACGAAATAATTCGCCGATCGAGTTTCTGTTCTCTGAATTTCTTCCATCTTTTCGATTATCGATCGTTTTATTCCAAGGTTGGACCGATTTATAAATAAAGAAATTTCTCTCTATCTATCGATCGAGAAAGAAAAGAATCGGGGGTTCTGAAGAAGGGGATGGTCGACGATACCGCGACGAGGGATCGATAATCCTTTGGGAACGATTCGAATTCCCTGACGCGGGAGGGGTCCACTTCGAGTTATTATGTAAATCCAGCCGGAAGTCGTTTCTCGATTCTTCCCTTCACGGTGGCCGTAATTATTCTCTTCCGTTCTCGAAATCACCAGCGGGGTGAATCGTCCGAATTTCACACTCTCGCATCGGGCGTGCATTATGCGCACGAGAACGTTGGCACACGTTGTAAATTGGCCTTTTCATACTCGATTTCTCGAATAATTTTCAAGAAAATTTGAATGGTAATAGAAGGTTTTGCAAACGTATTTCAAACACGTCCATTTAACTTGCATCGAAATGAATATTAAATTCTACACGTTCGTTCTCTCTTTCTTTTTCATTCTTCTTTTCTTTTTTTTTTCTTTTTTTATTATTATTATTACAAAGACCGCAAATGGAAATGATAGCAATTATCCTGGCTTGATTAAGGAAAATAACACGGTACGGTTCTAATTCATGCAACAATGTTGTACACGCGATTTATGCGACTGACGTTACAGGAAATTGTAGCGGTCGAAGGAATCGGTGTCCTATCTTGCCCTCTATCCGTCTTGGTCGGTTGAAAAAGGAGAGAAGAAAAAAAAATTACTTTTTCTTTGCCACGGCAATTCGCGCGGAAACGGGGAATAGAACGCTAGATTTTTCCTCGATTGAAAATGTTATTCCGAAATATCCATTCCTCGTGTGTTTCCAACGGATGGAACAACATCAAATATTATTCGTGCAAATTAAAATACAATTGTTATACGATTGCCTCTCCATGCATCGGCGGACCGAGAACGAATTTTTCCCGCGAAAGCGATTTCACTATTCGCGCGGCAATTTGGCAAAACGGTGGAATATCGAAACGTAACACGTTCGCCGAATTCCACCGAGAACGTCGTCCCTTTTTTTTCTTTTTTTCGCAATACAATTAACCCGCTCGACGCTCCAAATCGATTTCACTATTTTGAATCGATCGAGGAGAAAACAGAGATGGCCGATACACCGTCGAAAAAAACAAATTGGGCTAAGAAAAGGAAAATCATTTTAATTGCAAGTGACGAAGATACAAATTTTGTACACGGTTTCGTTTCTCACGCATAGATTGTTCACGTGACGAGCACGTTGTTCACTAATTTTCACGAAATGGACGAATAAAATTGTGCAAAGATCGAGAGACGCTCGTATAAAGTACAAATGCTTAAAATCCAAAATCCAAAAAAAAAAAAAAAGAAAGAAGAAGAAGGAGAAGAAGCACTGACCTTGAGGAGGCGGCGGAAGTAAGGACTGCACGCAGAGAGAACGACCTTGTGCGCGGTGAAGCTGCTACTGTCGCATGCCAGGGTCACGTCCACGAAATCCTCCTCGTCCCTCAGATGACGAAATGAGCTGAGGATGCTCGAGTGGAAGTCGTTCCACCTGAGTGAGTACTGTTGCTCGCCGCTCGACGAGGACGAAGAGGCCGCCATGGCGTCCGTCCCCTCGGGACCCACGGCCGAGGGCACCAGAGGTGCTATCGTGCTCACTCTGGCACCCCACGAGGACACCTTCACTTCACCCTCTCGTCGCGTTTCACCACGCACCCCTCTATTCTTTTATCGGCACCCTTCCAACGCAACAGCCACGCGGACAGTCGGTTGCCTGTCCTTGCGCGATTACGTTCTGCGACTTACGATCTCTTTCCTTTTTCCTCTCTCGTCTCGAGATCGGTATTTCCTTTGCTACGTGCGCTCTCAGGGTCAGTTAACTTTGACCCTCGAATCAAATTCTTTGGTTAGTCTCGTTTCTTTTTCCCCGATTTGTCTCTCTTATAGCGATTTTCGCGTGATATTTCTTCTTTCTTTTCTTCTTTTTTTTTTTTTTCTTTTTTTTGTTACTTGGTCCGCTCGAGATCTCTTCTGTTTTATTCACCTTCTCGAAGAAGTGTAATCGAACAGTATTCTTCTAGACTGTCAGGTAGTATAAGGAAACACGATGAATCTCATAACAACAACATCATGATAGCGACGAGAGGACGTTATCCGTCGCCGTTGCTGGAGAGTGACGAGACAATGAGGCCACGATCGTTTCTGAAAATAACGTGGCGTTTATTGCGAACCTTTGATCCACGTGACGGCAAGATATATATATCTTTTTTATTTATACTTTAAACTTCATTTTAACAATCGATCGATCTCTTTGACCTTTAAACCTTACGTTTTACGAGCATCGATTAAAAAGAGGATGGACGCTTTATTATCTCTTTTTTCTCAACGTTAAAAATTTAGAATCTCGCGTCACCATTCCTCTCAACTTTCACTACGAAAAAAAAAAAAAAAAGAAAAGAAATAAGAAAAGTAAAGTACCTTATCTCGATACCTGATAAGTTGGACGATCTCCGACGCTTCTTTCTTCTTCCTCTCCCTTCTCCAACGAACTCCGCCGCCTCTTCGCCTCCTCCGAAGCGAGCCACGACTATCACTTTCTTCCGTTTAACGAAGTCCTTGCACCCTCTGCCCAGCCACGGCTTGATCGACGCGTCATTCCGACATCCGTTGCCGTGAGACCAGACGGCGAATCTGTCGATACTCCCTCGTCCTTCCTTCCCCAACACCGAGCCCTTGGCTATCGTCTACCGTGTCACCTGATATTCGTCCAACGCCCGTGTCCTTGCTTATCATTCCCTTCTTATCTCTCCTCCACCTCCTCCTCCTCCTCGATCGCCCCTTTTGCTCGTCTGCCCGCTTCGCCTATTTACCCGCCTCGATCTCTCCTCTTCTGCAAAAAGAAAAGAAAAGCAGATCGAAAAGGGATCGACTTGGGGGGGTTAACTCGCGTTAAAAACTCGACTCGTGTTTAAGATCAAGCGAGACGTGAGGAAATGAGGATAAATTAATTAATCGAGCAACAATTTATTCCTCGTTCATTTATTTCTCGCGCGATCGAGGGAACGCAGTGCCTCGACTCGAATCGGATACATTCAGTCAGTTCTGGTTCTGTAACTGGTATGTATATAACGTTCTCGTGGGGAATACGAAAAGGTACAAACGAGATCGCCCGAGAAGGATTTTTCGCCTTTCGATTTCGTCGAGAGAAACGGTAGATCGATAAGGAATCTATTATGCAGCAACGCGTGTTTAATCGTAATTTTTCTCGTACTTTTTTCACTCGTGTATAATGATCGCTCATTTACTCATCCCCGTAATGGATTCCCCATCGTCCACTTGGATTATCCTGCATCTTTTGCGTTTGTATCGCTTTCTCTCGTCCTCCCGTTTTATCACAGTTTCTCGGCTCGATCGAAGAGATAAGTGGATGCTCCTGCATCCGTCCGACGGAATGAATGGACGAGAGAGAGAGAGAGAGAGAGAGAGAAGGAAAAAAAAGAGAAAAAATTCGAGAGCATGGTATCCGGTTCCTTTCGACGCGTCAACGTGCCGCATACGTTTTACACGAGGCGTGTCGATTCTTTTGTGCGTTGCATCACGAACAGTCCTCTCCTCGCCGATACCATCGCGATTTTCCAACCATCGAATAATTTATCCTTCGTGCGACGAACGATCGATCCGACGGCCGGATTTCTCTTGGAATCTTCGTTCGTCTGTCAAAATCGTAGATAAGCACGAAACCCTTAGATCCTTATCCGAGAATAAATTTGGTGGTAGGAAAAATAGGTGGATAAGAGGAAGGGAAACGAGAGAGAGAGAGAGAGAAAGAGAAAAAGAAACGAGAAGAAACTAGAGGAATAATACGTTGTTTACGGAATTTAACTTTGCAACAGGGCCGAGAAACATTAGAAAACCATGATACATAAGATTGGCCGACTGGATTGAAACGGTGAGCTATAATTGAAAACTGGAACTGGTAAAAATATGAGAGTCGTGATAAATTTGTGTCCCTTCTACCGTTACTAAGATAAAATTTTCATCATGAGTCATTCGTAATTAAAAAAGAAGAGAGAACGCTTTAATATGTCAAAGTTGAAAAGGGTTCAATGAGTCTGGTTCTATTTTGATCGTGTACGTGTACGCGAAGTAAAATTAGAAAAATTGATTATCGCGATGCGATAAAGATGACCGCGTTACTCGTAACGGAACGAAGCTTGGATATTCTCCGGGGAATCGATCGACGAAAATCATCATCATCTATCATCTATTTATGTTCAATCGATTCCGCTTCTTCCAATTACAAAAAGAGGGATCAGATTTCAGGCGAAATAACATAAAGGAATTCGATTACCCATCATCGATAAATAACACTTTGTAAACAGGCCAATGCTTGGCGTCTATTTGGCACCGATCCCTTTTAAATTACAGCGGCGTTCACCCGCCACGCTGATCGAAAACACGCGAGCGGATTACGGAGCGAGGGGAGCTCTGGATCGTTTCGAACCAGAAGAAATCGAGTAAAAATCCCGCTATCGAAACACTTTCTAAACGATCGAGAACGAGCGCACGAGACACGGGTGGAGGAATAATCGTGCGCGTCGTTAAATATTCGCGTCATATTTAACAAATTGAGATTAGAATTGCGTCGCCGAGAGGAAAGACCGGGTCGAGAAGAGACGAGCGAGAAAAAGAAGAAAACCGACTGCAATGTCGGAACGATAGCGTGGCGACGCGACAGGAATCAAAAATGTACGCCTCCGAGCACTCGCGGCATTATGAAACTGACATAATGACCAGCCGAGGATTTCACAACCGCATACCTAGAAAGCGTTACGAGGCGTGGAGCGCGCGTTATCTCGGTTTCGATATTGAAATTAAATACGCATTTTCCCGCGAGTCCTATGCGATTGCCACCCAGAGGCGGAATTCCAACTATTCACACGGACCAGCTGATCGACCCACATATAAGGTGTGTATCGTATTATTTTAAATATGGCGAGATTCTTCGAATCGTAATGAAGATAACGAAATAATACGTCGATACGTTTTCTTCTTTTTTCCCTTTTTTTCTTTTTTTTTTTTTACGATTTTCCAAACGACACGTGTACTACGTATCGTAATTCTGCATTCGTTTTTTTTCACGGTACGTTCATAATATCGATTGTTTCGCGATTGTTTATATTTATTTTCATAACGCGGAAGGAAAAAACGTGTTTTGCTAAATTATCAGAAATCTAAGCTTCTGTTTTGACTATACTTATATATCCGAAATATATATACATATATATATATATATACACACACGAAACTAATCACGCAATAACGTGTATCGCGTACAATCGCGTGTTGATACATCGAACTTTGTATCATACGCTATAGCATTCGACAGAATATAGCGCATAGTATTACGCTCTATTAATACCCGCACGACTATCACACTTGCCGGGATATTTTTAAAAGTGGTGCCTGACAATGTTCCGTACGATATCGGGATAAAATAAAACTCGTTCGAATCGAACGACAATTTGTCGAGAAAAATCGTCGGAAAAAATATCGAGGTACCGATATTTTAATCGAAAAAAAAAAAAAAGAAAGAAAGAAAAAAAGAGCGGGGAAGGGGGGGGGGGCTATTATTATACAATACCCATCCTTCGCCTTTCGAAAGCAGAAAACCTCGACAAACCGTGCCTCGGTCCATCGATTTATACGCACGAGATTCGTCGAAAATACGTTCTCAAACGCTCGGTTCTCGATCAGGTGTTTTCGCAGCAAGAAGACCGCGTGCGTGCTAAATCGTGTCGCGTTTCCACGTGTGTGCGTCCCCCGGCATATTCCATTATATCGTATGAATGAATCGCGCGTCCCTGAATATATTTCGATCGATCGTGTTCGTCTGGTATTCGCGCTTAAGCCCGCCTCCCCCTCCCACTCTCTCCTATCGCGCCCGATTCCGCAAACGAACACAAAAGCCGAGTGTATGTGTATCTCTCTCTCTCTCTCTCTCTCTCTCTCTCTCTCTCTCTCTCTCT